GCATGTATATATGTATAAGTACCACAAACTTAACACTAAAAAAAAAACAAGTTATAATTGGTCTTTCTTAATTAGAGCATTTACTTGATGAATAACTATTGTTCGCTAATATCACGTAAAAACTTGAGTTTTCGCACTTCTGCGCATGTTTGAATGACATTTCCGCCAATAGAAACAGAAGAAACGAAAGCTTGAGGTTTGCGCAACGGCAGTATCAAGCTTTTTGGTTTGGAAAGCGCTTGCGCACGAATATTCGGATATATAAGTGTGCGCGAGCGCTCTTCAAAGTCAGTTGGGTTCTCTTGCTCTCACGACTGACTACTTAATAATTAATGAATCCTTCGTGCAGGATGCAATGTGTAACATCCGTTTCATGCTAAAGGTCTTGGGTACTTACACCAAAAATTCTTATTATTTCCAATTTTGATTTAAAGTTGCACTTACTTAAGTTTCTTCATTTTTCCTTTTCAAATCAACAAGAAATAACGTATTAAAAATATGTGGGTAATACCATCGAAATGAATGATACAACGACGATGAAGTTTTTTTTTTTTTAAAGATAATTAACAATATTAACAACATCGTAAAACAAATATCACGAAAGCCCAATCCTGGGAAATAACATCTATGAATGTATGTAGTTATTACACGTTTAGAGCATAGATGTCGTTATTATTTTCAGAGTATGTATTCGATATACAACGATAAATTAATCACTCAAACAAGTACGAAATTCAATATAATAATGACAATAATAATAATAATGCGATGAAAACACTCAATAGTACCTATATTTATAATAATTATATAATATGTAAATGCTATCACGGTTTAAGTCTTGCATGAAACTCGATTTTTCTTATGTTTTGATTAATCATTTCAGGATCACTTTCGTGCATAATCGTATACATTTTATTATTCGTCCTGAAACATATTGAGTTTTAAAATAACCATAACAGTACACCTATTTTTCGACAGTAGAAAATATAATTATGTAAGATGATAGATTCTAAATTATTTATTATTCTGTTTTTTCCAGCTCCTTCTTTCTCATTCGCTATCGTATTTTAAAATATCAGTCAACATACATCGGGAATGCTTACGATTAATATACTGCAATAAACAGTCTCTCATCTCATCACTTTTATCTTGCGATAGTCACTTTTTTTTCCATCGTCAGTTAAAAATATGGCGCCATATTCCTGCCTATTGCTACTAAAACTAAAATATTTAACGGATAGAAAGAATTACGGTCACCCACGCGTATGTGACCACTTATCGAATTTAAAACATTTACATGTACCATTGGAGCCGTCGAAAACTCGTATGTTTTCACTGGGGAATTCCCCGTTAATTGATTTTACTATATTACAAGGGATACTGAAACAATTTAAATCAATTTTGGATCAGAAAACCTAACCTAACCCGAAAATACGTGTCTGAGACGCCATATGTCTACCTGATTTTATTGTTTGCTAAAAATATAAAAAAAGTGACGAACACTGATAAAATAACGTAAATACCTCGGCAGAGATCAAATGAAAAAAGTTCCTGTTCATCGTAATCCTCAATAAATCTTAAATTTATTATAAGTCAGTCTTTTGAAATCCGTCTAACAACTACAAAGTCGTGAGCTATGCAGATGGGTGCTACTACTGTCGTTAATATAGGTGAACATCCTTATTTATTCCCGCATTTTAATTAATAAAACACCTGTGAAGCTATGATGCACGGGCATTAGTTTTTATGCGTATATAAAAGGAAAAAACAAAAGGTAGTTTAAAAATAATTGGCGATAAATTCAGTCGTTCGGTTTTTATATATGTGTATGTATATACTGCAGTTTTCAAAAAATAAGTTAAGTTTATAATTCACACGTTAAAAATTCGAAATTCATAACCAGTATGTATAAAATATCCTACAAAGCCTTAAACAAACGATAAGAAACCGTTTTACATATAAAAAAAAACGACGTAACTGTCGTGCCGAGGTCTTATTAGAGATCGAACCATTAGACAGGAAGTTTTGCATTTTATTTACCCCCTTCTTTGGTCCGAAATAATTAATATAAAAAATTATTATATGTTCAATTCTTATACTTGAAATGTGGTCTTAGGCCTTCTGGCTAACCGCGATCAAAAATATTTACGAACATATATTAAAAATACCGTTGGAATGAGGAGATATTAGCAGGAGTAGGAGAACAGAGGACATACGCATCTAACGAGTCTTCGGGCTAAAGATGATGATGACATTAAAGAACTATAAAGATTAGAAAATACCACAAATGGCGCAGTAAACGCCATCTGTAGCACGATGCTACATTTTAGAATATGAAGATTACAATATAAAGATTTGTGACGAAAACTAGAACATGTCACCAATTTTAGATATCTACGAAGTTAGAAACATTCGATATGGACTTAATAGAAAAGACCCGAATCAAGTGCTTTCACCTTCCATAATTATGATTTTTATCCAAAACATTTAAAATTTTTTTGGTATCAAAATTCCCTGATAGTTTCCAAATTTTGCTGATAATTCCACATCGGATTACATCACAACATAAATATAAAAAAAACTACCCTCAAAAAAGACCAAACTTTCGAATTCAACAGAGAGTAAGTTTTTGAGGGACCAGATGGCAACTGCTCATTTGTCGCCCCTTAATAAATCCACCCCTATAAAGGAATGAGTCCATCCCTACTTATTAGCCAGTAAAAATATGTTTTATTCAGTTAGCTATTACCTGTAACCCATAAGAATCGGACATAGACCGTTATCTCGATACCAGCGGTTTATACGAGTTAAACTCATCGACTACTAACACTAGATCCAATGGTAGTAAAGGAATTAGATAATGCTGAAGGGGATTTAAAGCTGTTCAGCAGAAACTTCCGTACTAATAGCACTTCGCGATAAGACCACGGGTGATTCTAATTATTAGTCACGGTTTTATAAAAAAAAAAACAACTACTACCTCGGGAGATCACAAAATCATTAATTTAAACTATCTACAACAGTTAATAATGTACCTATTAAATTGTTAGGGGTATTGCCACTAAACGAACAGGGTGTACGTACGATCTGCATTATATTTAAAATACTTTTCTCAATTTACATACATAAAAATTATGTAACGATCTTTAGAGCCATTATTTAGCGTGTTTCTTCGCGGTTAAAGCCTTATTTTTGTTTCTATTTTCCAAAAGGAAACAAACAAACCACGCATGGTTTCAGCACCGTATAAAAATCACTCTCGAAAAGTTCTCCTATAACTAACTAATCCCTTAAATTACATCAATTAAGTAACAATTATCCCAAAAGTTGTGAGCGCACTGGCATTCTGTCACCCAATCGTGGGTCCAAGTTGCCAGCTGGCCGCTAGTCACTGGGCCGATAGACCGCTCGGGGGCTTGTACTCCACGTTACTCCCGGGAAACTGGGCCACGCTGCTCGGGGTGTTGAACGTGGGCGCGTAGCATTGGGGGAAGTAAAGTTCCGGTTTCACTACACTAGTGGGGGTCAGTCCACGCGGTAGAATGCCATTGGTACCCTGTTTGCCTTCCGATCCTGTCGAATTCCGTCGCGTTTTCGCCGCGTTCGGATTCATGTGGTTGTCTATGTGTTTTTTGACTTCCGCCTCCGCAGCGAATCGCCTTCTGCAGTTCGGCATTGGACAGCAGAACGGCCTGTCGCCCTGGTGGGTTCGCGTGTGTTGGTCGAGGATGGCCTTTTGTCTGAAGTCCTTGCCACACTGTGTACACTTGTACGGTTTTTCGCCCGTGTGAATCCTCAGATGTTGGTTTAAGATCGTTCGTTGTCTAAAATTACGGCCGCAATAGACACAACCGTAAGGTTTCTCGTTAGTGTGGATTCGTAGATGTTGAGTCAAGTGGGACTGCTGTCGGAACCGCTTCCCACATTCCGGACACGGATACGGCCGGGACTCGATATGTATGCAGCCGTGTTGCAGAAGAGTCGATTTTTGCTTGAACTCTTTCTGGCAAATCGGACACCTCACGTACAAAGGCATTCCTGCCGACCTACCGTGTTGAATCACATCGGACAGTGTTGATTTTCCCGTTTGACTCTGTTTGAGATATTGCAAAGTCCCGAAGTTCGTGCCGGGGCCGAAAACGGAATGGTTCAAACCTTTCGCGTCCTTAAAGTACGATTGATATTGGAGATTACCTGTTGGATTGCTCGGTGAAAAACAGCCTGTTCGATCTTGTTGTTGCGTTTCACCGTCACCGTATGTCGATGCGACTTCTTCCTTACCTTCGTCTGGAGGAAATGGAACATCCTGGGGCCATAACGTTGGATTAATGCCGTTTTTGAACACCAGGTGTGGACTGACATCTAAATGACAAAAGAGAAAGGCTATTCAAATAGTTATTCCAATCGGGTTATTCAATAGTAATTGAAAAACTAAATAGCAAGCCTAATTAATTTCAAATTGTTTTTAATATAACTACAGTAATTAATTGCCTCCTGCGGTGAAAGAAAACATGCATATGCTACAGTAATTTGGAGATCGTAGATATCTGAAAATTTGCTTGTAAATGGTAAATTCTATCCTAAATGCATCTATGAGGATGAATAGCTTCTGATGTAATGATCTCACGAGAATAGTGGAACAGAAGAAATTGGATATGGATGTTTTTTTTGATATTCAAGGAATCTCAAGAAGCAAAATTTGGTGAAGAGGTTAATACCACAAAAGAGTGTCCGAGTTTCTACTGTATGTTTTTGAATTTCTCCTTGATCTTCGATTTTTAGAACTTCAGTGGTCTAATGATATACCTTCTGTTGGGAACATTCAAAAGCCTAAAGTTGAAAGTTAATAATTTTGTTGTCAAGCGTGAGTTGTCGATACATTTAGGATAGTATAAGCTTGAGTGATTGTAGTATTCAAATGAATTTTCTGAGCCAGCGGGTCAGATAAAAGAAATTAATGTCTAGGAAGGTATGCAATGAGAGGAGGGAATGCGTTTCAACACCAGCGGCCCGTAAAGACAGACACGGGCAGTAGGGGTCGAAACAGTAAATCTGAGGCGCTCGCCTTGATGTGTGCGGACGTGCTGATTGAGGATGGCCTTCTGGCGGAAATGCTTCCCGCACTCTGGGCATTCGTATGGCTTCTCACCGGAGTGAATGCGCAGGTGCTGATTCAGGATCGCCCTCTGGCGGAAAGTTCTTTCGCAGTACACGCATGCGTATGGTTTCTCGTTAGCGTGGATCCTCAAATGTTGAGTCAAGTGGGACTGTTGCCGAAACCTCTTCCCACATTCTGGACACCCATACGGTCGACTGTCGGTATGGATCCGCTCGTGCTGCAGAAGCGTCGATTTTTGTTTAAAGTCCTTGCCACATGTCAAACACTTGAACAATCGTAACTCGCCATTCAACGGATTCTTGGCCTGCTTCATGCTGGCCTGTTGCTGGTGCATGACATCGGGCAACGTCGCCGACCTTAAATCTTGCATGGTACTCGCGTATTGGTCCAGTTGCCCCGCGGCGTCGTGTCCCAACGAGCTCAACATCATGCCGGGCTGCTTTAAATAATGCAGGGCAGAGAAGCTTCCGGCTCCCAGCATGTGCGGTGGAACAGGAGGTGGAGCGGCAGGTGGTGGAGGTCGTGGGTACTGCTGATAAGGTTGTTGCGTCGTCTGTTGTTGGGTTGCTTGCTGTTGAGCAGTTTGTTGCGGGGGCGGAGGTTGTATGTCAGTGGGGAAGCACTGAGAAGCCGGACGAGGTTCCAGGTCCAAGCTCGGTTGTTCGGCAGGAAGATCGTTTTCGCGTGGTTCGGCCTGCGTTGCCGAATAAGGCGACGGTGCGGGAGATGGGAGACTCTGGTCGCGGGCTTGTACGGAATCCGCTTCCACGCCAAGTGGCACGGAGGGTGGACACGTTTGTTGAGGGCTCCCCGCTCCAGATGAATTTTGCTGAGCGGAGAGGTAATCTTGCGGACCCCATTGAGCCTGTGTTCGATCCATGCCATCTTTGTAAAGGACATATGGTGCTCCTGTATCTGGAACAAGTAGTTACATTGAAATATTACATTAGGTATCCAAAATAATGGTTGAAAATGAGAGTAGAGAGAGAGAGTACGCTATCTGTAGTCATTAGATAGTTTACTCGACTCCATTTCCCAAAAACAATTTTACTGGTAATTTCTTGTCTCTCAGTTACAATTTTATGTTGTTCAACCTGGCAACAAAATGTTATTCATCATTCCTTATATATTATCTCTTTTTGGTAGTTTATTTGTCCATTCGCTCATGGATTAGTTTCTAGAGAAAGCGGCAAGACTTTTTGTGCTTCCTATCGTCTACAAGTTGTTACATATTACCAATCTCCCGCTGTTATAGTATCCTACTGCAGATATTTTATTAATATTAAACAGTGACGGATCAGGTTTTTATTAGCTCTCCTCTACAGGATACCACCCGTCAATTAAGTATTAGTTATATAAAGCATCCAGTTGCAAGCTTATCGCCTAAACAAGCGGCAATGTTTTCTTTTATGAATTTTTAATAGGCCTATTAATACATCAATACAAAAAAAGGAAAAGTAATATTAATTGATTAGTTGTAAAAAGCTACTCGAATAGGGATACGTATACTGAACGATTCACAGAAGATCCTGAAAAATCACATTTGATCAAGAAGGATTCTAAGTAAAAACAATACTTGCTGCTCATCAGTTACTGTTCTTTCAATAGTTTTGCGCATCAAATGGCTTTTTAGTGCCTTTTTTATCGTTTGTGGGCCTCATGTAGTAAAAGACGATCATGGATCTTATGAGATAAACGTAACAAATGTGCTTCTGGGAGTATGAAGAAGTGGGCAATCCCATCATTTACCTTATGGGTGTTCAATTGGATAAACAACGAATATAGTAATTCTTCTTAGACAAACCATCTGATGTTAGAGCTGCACTGAACACCAACCGGTATACCTGACTTTAAAAACAGGTATAAGAAGATAGTTGCATTGAATCCGGAGCAGAAATGTAATGCTTTAGACATATTTGGGCCCAATTAGGCAGTAGTACCGTGGAGTCCATACTCAGAGTCCATGATGTTTGACTCTGATCAAATTATCTGGTTTTGGCCGGGTGAGAAATGTAATCCCTTCCAACATTTGAGCTTAATCAGACAAAACTATTTTGTCCAATGGGGACTACCATGTGTGATCGTGGAGGGTATCATCATTAAGAGCAGATCAGACTTAAAAAGGCATACGATTAATACGATAAAGTAGGATATCCATATCAGAGTCACATCAGATTTAATAGGGCGTGCCGAAATAGGGTTTAGGTAGGATATCGACAACAGGGCGAACCTGTCTAAACAGAGCATAGGATTCAGATAGAGTATCACCATCAGGGCTTCATCAGGTGAAATAAGGCATGCCGTAAAAGAAGTTAGATAGGGTACTACCATTAGGGATTCAACAGTATTAACAGGGCATGCCATCAAAGGATAGAAATAGGGAATCCATATCAAACCCCAGTCAATCTAAATAGGGCATGCTTTAACAGGGTTCAAGTAGGATATCGACCTCAAGGCAATATAGGGCTGCAAAGGACATACACAACGGGTTCGAATAGGGAATAGGTATCACCAATAGCTGAACCCTTTACGACATGTCCTATTTAGACTGATATGGTCGTAATGTTGATTCCCTACCCTTATACTTTTATATGCCCTCTTGAGACACGGTATGTCCTATTTGGACTGACCTGGTCCTAATGATCATACCCTATCTGAATCCTTTTAAGCCATGTCCTACTGGGACACTCTGTATACGTTTGCACTACAGTGAAGTGTAATTAATGTCTAATGGCATAGTTACATCATTAATGCCTATTTTTTTAACGCTTGCAGAAACTTTTGTTTTCCACCATCTGTCTGCGTTATTCTCGAAAACTAATTTGCGGATTTATAATAAACTTTCCTCGCGCTAATCCCAAAAACTTAGGACAGAAACTTTAGTCCACTTTTGCCCAGAGTTTGCAGCGTTTAAAATGAAAAAAAAGGATTTTATCGTTGAAACTGTCTAACCCGTTACAAGTTACAGACAAACATTTTTATTTTACTCCTGATGTATTATTGTCTTTGTTAGCGGTACTTCAATTTTATAGTTTAATATTAAACTGTCGTAGAAAACCTTACTTATTACAATCAAAAAGTTCTATTACTAGATCTACTGTAGTAGGAATGAAATATTAACCCTATAATGAGTTTATGTACNTATTTAATTTGTTGTATTTATTAATATAAACACTTTCAGCTAGATTTAATTTATGGCTTTTTGGTAATTCTTTTAAAATATGTAAAATCAGCTTTCCCATTAGTATAACTCCTCCTGTGTTCTGCAATCCTTTGATTGAAAGATCACCCAGTTTGTCCAACATAGACTTAATTACAATCCCGACATTCCAATAAATAATTTATCAGTTTTATCTTTATTAGAACGATTTAGGAAATAAAATCTCAAAAAATCAACTTTTTATTTGGTTGGGGTCAAAATCAGGAGTTTATTTATTGGAATTTGGGGATCGTAATCAAGTCTATGTTGGACAAACTGGAAGATCCTTCAATCAAAGGATTACAGAACACAGAAGAAGCTATAGTATGCAGAACACTTATTAAAGGAAAAATACACTTTTAATGGTAATTTTCAAATTTTAAAAGAATTACCAAGAAGTCATAAATTAAACCTAGCTGAAAGTCTTTATATTAATAAATACAATAAATTAACTATTTTACTAAACGATCAAATTGATGTAAATAGTTCTTCATTATTAAATTTAAATTTGTCTTCAAAAATTTAGTGTCTTACTTTATCCCTCCCATTCGTTTTTCCAACCCCATAAAATTTATAAACTTTTAATATTTATAATAATAATACTCAGAATACCTGAAGCAGCCAATGTTATGGCAAAACAATCGTTTTAAACAATTAATGCATATTTTTGAATCTTTACTTTCGTTTCCTTTAATTGGTTTCAACATGTAAAACCTTCTACCATCAATTAGTTATTAAAATAATTACTCTATAACAGAAAATAAGTCTGAAAATTCAGAGAAAAGCCAATGCGTACTTACTAGTCGGCACAACTGATATGAGCAAAGACAGACCATTGCTCCGTTCAGCCTTTAACATTACATTAGTAACGGGGACACTGTATTTCGAGCGTCTTCAATGCAACATAATACCTAATAACGGAGCAAGTCTTTTAGTTTGCTCAAGTAATTCCGTCGTTGTTTTAGTGGATAATGCGTTAATGTATGATGAAAAAATTAGAGTGAACAATCTTAAACGGTCAATGTCTCTGTTACATTAAGAAAATAAACAATCGTAGCAGTAATTAATGGAGGATGAGGAGGGAATAAAAATCTGATTTAACAAGTACATTTATATTTTCTTCATTATGCATTACAAAGAGAATCAGTTCATATAATTCTATTAGAATATATTTAAAATATAAACAATTCCGGTATCTATTATTTACAGTACGATTTGTACTTTTGAGCAAATGTGTGTATTGCATTGTGGCGTGTTAAAAAAATCTTGACTATTGTACATTATTGGCTGAGCATTAGTAACTATTACGAAGTAATGGCGATTATTGAGGTTGCTGAGTTATTGAAATGATTCTCTCGAACAATCTGGACGAAAATATCCAAAATTTTTTTTTTTATACACAGACGCAAGATTGTCTCACAAAGTAAATAATGTGTGTCAAACGTCAAAATGTTTCGATGTACATATATGTAAAGAATTAAAAAAAAAAATGTAAAACAAAGGATAGTCAAATAACAAACCCTGTCCAATAATATCCCAGTCTTCTCTTTTGTTTTGCTTATCTGCTGTAGTTATGTTTCAATTTTGTGTTGAAAAACAATAATTAGAAGAAACTGTCACATATGGCACTTTCTATAAAGGAATAATCATTAATATGCTTACATTGTAAATATCGTACAAACGAATCACTACTTGCTATGTATATACTTTTCACAAACACTTAAGATCTTTTCAATATGAAATTGACAAAAATACCAAGTACTTAAGATAAAAGAAATCACATAAGAAAACAACTGCAACAATTTTTTTATACCAAAACTATTTTCATGTAATTTATCATAAAGAATCCATTTCATATTCAAAAAAGAAAACAAACAAAAATCCTAAATCTTTCCTATTTCTTAATAATTTCGAATTATTTCGAATTAAATATGAGACATTAACATTTTCCTTTAAATAAATTACCTCTACATATAAAAATTGCACTTCTAGATACATTTTTTGCGTTGTACCCTCAACTTTTTGCATGTATATATGTATAAGTACCACAAACTTAACACTAAAAAAAAAACAAGTTATAATTGGTCTTTCTTAATTAGAGCATTTACTTGATGAATAACTATTGTTCGCTAATATCACGTAAAAACTTGAGTTTTCGCACTTCTGCGCATGTTTGAATGACATTTCCGCCAATAGAAACAGAAGAAACGAAAGCTTGAGGTTTGCGCAACGGCAGTATCAAGCTTTTTGGTTTGGAAAGCGCTTGCGCACGAATATTCGGATATATAAGTGTGCGCGAGCGCTCTTCAAAGTCAGTTGGGTTCTCTTGCTCTCACGACTGACTACTTAATAATTAATGAATCCTTCGTGCAGGATGCAATGTGTAACATCCGTTTCATGCTAAAGGTCTTGGGTACTTACACCAAAAATTCTTATTATTTCCAATTTTGATTTAAAGTTGCACTTACTTAAGTTTCTTCATTTTTCCTTTTCAAATCAACAAGAAATAACGTATTAAAAATATGTGGGTAATACCATCGAAATGAATGATACAACGACGATGAAGTTTTTTTTTTTTTAAAGATAATTAACAATATTAACAACATCGTAAAACAAATATCACGAAAGCCCAATCCTGGGAAATAACATCTATGAATGTATGTAGTTATTACACGTTTAGAGCATAGATGTCGTTATTATTTTCAGAGTATGTATT